CACCGATCCATATCAATTCACACCACTCTATCTGCTAACCGTGGTTTAAATTTTTAAATTTATAATCCGTCTTCGAAATTACTCCACTCCGCTATAGTTAATATATATATATATATATATATTTTTTTAACCTATAATGAAATATTAAAATAAAAATGAGTCTGAGAGAGATTTAATATTTGAAATTTATTATAGATTAGTAGTTATATATATGAAAAATATTATGTAAAATTAGTTTGTGTTATATATATGACAAATATTATGCAAATTAGTGTTATATAATATGCAAAGACTTGATAACTGGTTAGAATATTCTTCAATAATCCATCCAAAACCGCTCAAAGCGCAATTGCCAATCTGCCATTTAGTTTCTAATTTTACTCTCAAATCGCCTGAAGCGCACCGCACACACCCCTAATGGCATCTATGAGTAATCAACATATAAAAAAAATTGATCGAAATTTTTTATTTGATATACTTACTTTTTGCATGACTGAGTTGTTGCAATAATGTTTGGGTATTATTTGATTTTTTTTTTCTTGTAATTTGACTAAAATGTGTATATGAGGTACATTATTTTTCTTGAACTTCACAACAAATAGGACAATTTCTACTCCAGCTCGTCTAACTTTGCTTGGATAGTATGTTGCAATATATCTTTTGTAATTTTTGTTTCACTATCTTCTTGTTTTTCTTCTTGCTCACCATTATAACTCATTGTAATAAAAATATTTTGATAAGTAAGAGTTTGAGGTGATATCATATTGCTATGAATTTCAAAATTCATTTTTTTTGTCAATAATGTGATTTTTTTTTTTGTGAGGGGAAAAAAAATACAATTATTATTGTAATGGAGGTGTTTTGCAAAGTCTTGGTTTGTTATTGAAGCTTTGTTTGTCATTGGCTAATATAGCTAACTTTTTTGTGTTGGGACTTTTTTAGCCTCGTTTGGTTTGAATTTTTTGATTTTTTTGACTTTGTGAGAGAAAAAGTGTAATAATTATGTGTTGAATGTGATATTTTGTTTTATTAACTTATTTAGCCTATTTTGTCATTTTGTACATTTTTGGCCCCAAAATGATAGCCAAACCAGGGGTGAAAGTGTTTGTTGTGGAATATGTATTAAATATAAAGTTAATAAGAGAATAATATAAAATTATACAGTTTTTTCCTAACAAATATAACTATATTACTAAAGCGACACATGTTAAAAAAAATTAAAGTATCCGACGGTAATATGGCATTACATATTGATAATGTATGAATACAATAATATATATAAATTTACATTTATATTTTTTTATTATATATTTATATATGTAGACATTGACATATAATATCATAAAAATAATATGTGAAATTTTTTGTAGCAATATAATATATGTAATAATGAGAAATTAATTATTCATAATTAAATAGTTAGTTATAATGTAGATGTTTAGTGTTACATTTTTGTGTGTATGCACCATTTTTAATTAGATTATTAAATTCACAAAAAATTTAAAGAAATTTGTGAATAATTTGTGTAAAATTAGATATTAGCGAAGAAAGATTTAAAAAAAAAAGAAATTTATAGTGTTTGATTTGGTTTGTTTTCTCAAACTTTTATTTTAAATTTTTTGGTTTTCATGTTTTTTGTCTTTGACATTGTTTTTTTTAATAACCCTTTTATTTTATTTTTAAACTCACTTAATTTAATACTTTTGTATTTTTTAATTTTACTTTTAGATTTAGATTCACTTAATTTAAATATACTTAGAAAATAATTTGTTGTGTATTATTTTTGAAAAAAAATTATTAATATTAAATAATAGTAATAACAAAAAATATATATAATAATAAAAAATAATACTTGTTTGAATTTATATATTTTTTAACTAATATATTACTTTTTAATTATATTTAGATTATTAAATATTAGATTTTCATATAAAAGTAGAATTTAAATATAAAATATGAAGAAATTTCAATATCTTTAATCACTAAAACTGAGAAAATATAAAAAATAAAAAATTGAAAAAACTTATTAGAAAAATAAAATCAACGAAAGTGGTTCTTGTTTAGAATTTTGACATCATACCTTAGTTATTAAGGTACCATATAAAATATTATAGTTCATAAAATATAATTTAAACAAAAAGAAAGTGTATGAAGATAACCTGCGCATTTTTGAAATGCAGCACAAATCTCTGTTTTAAAAATGTATACGTTTTCCTCTATCTAGATTCGAATGAATCTTATAATTTTAAGATTCAATCGAAATTATTCATAGTGATTTGATTTATGATGGATAATTGTAAATATTATGTATATCAGTATAAAAGAAGACATAGGAAATAAAAAGAGTAATTATTTTTTTGTTCTTCAATCATCATTAATGTGAAAAATAAGGAGACGACTTTTTTTATTTATTATTTTTATAAGAAGGGAAAAAGTTTGTTTATATTTATATAGTACTGTTGAAAGTACATATATCATTTTTGAGTATTTATATAGGATTTTTCATGATTTTTAGAAAATATAATATAGTTGAGAGAATAAAACTAAGATAAAAAAAAAAAAGAAAAAGAAAAGAGTAAAAAACATAGTAGGCGTCGGGCCGACTCCGACCTATTTATTCAGTCCGTCAATATGGACGTCCATTCCAGCTAGGGATGGCAATGTGGGTTAATGGGATGGATATTAATTTCCTATCTCCATTCCCCTATAATAAATTTTTCCCGTTCCCCGTTCCCCGTTCCCTATTCCCTATGTGTACCACCCTCCTCATTTCTTAATGGGTATGGATTTTCCCCAACACACTTTAATCCCTATTTTTATTTTATATATTTAATGTTAACAACCACTTTTTTTATTTATTTTTTATTTTTTTTAAGGTTCACAACGAAAGCTAAATATACCTTCAATCTTTTTTTTTTCTTTTTTAATATATTTAATGTTAACAACTTCTTCTTCTTCTTCTTTTTTTTTTTTTTTTTTTTTAATGTTAACAACCTTCTTGTTTTTCTTTTGTCTTTTTTTTATAAAGGTTTTAGCTAAATATACCTTCAGTCTTTTTTCTTTCTTTTTTAATATATTTAATGTTAACAACTTATTTTTTTATTTTATTTTTTATTTTTTTAAGGTTCACAACAAAAGCTAAATATACATTCAATCTTATTTTATTTTATTTGGTTCAACAACAAAATCAAATACACATTAATTAATTAATTAAAAAGTTTGTTTTATAATAATCAAATATATAATTTTGAGACAATCAACTAAGTTTTAGTAATTGAAAAAAAAAATGTGGAAGAACGTGGAAGATTAAAAAAAAATTACAACCATCTCTCTCTCTCACTCTCATTCTCACTCTCACTCTCTCCCCTACATGTTATAAGAACATGTTTACAATGTTATAAGAGCCTGTTTGAAGAAATAAAATGTGAAAGAACCTGTTTGAAGAAAGTGTTATAAGACCCATATTAAATTGCATCAGGGCATAAATAAGGAATTGTTTGTTGATCTCCTAGCCACAGACATTTTAGACATTAAATTATTTTTCTCTTACCAAATTTGAACTATTCATTTTAATTTATCCAAAATCTAATTATACCTTTTAACAAATCTAAACCACTCATTTTAAGATATCTATGCCTTACCACACCCAATTCATCTTCCATCTTCTTCTTTTAGTCCCCACGAATTTTGTTGTTTGTTACTTTTAAAAAACAAAAAATATTTTTTCAATTAAATTTTTACTAATTTCACAACACCATCACCACTATTCTCACTTTCACTGTCACACTACCATCACCATAGCCACTACTATCATCACTGCCTGCCATCACCCTCACCAACTATGTCACAATTTCTACTTTCACCTTCGTCCATCACCACCACCACCAAATATAAAAAAATATATTTTTAATTTTTTTATTAAAAAATATTTTTCAATTAAAAAATATTTTCTATTCTAAATAAATGAAACATAACATTGGGAAAACAAGCTGATTTCAGTTAATCTGTTCATTACTAAGAAAATTCTTTATTTTAAAAAAAAATTAATTTAGTAAGACTTTGTATCCCTTGTTTAATTTTTCCAGGCAAATAAATCATCTTATGTACCCATCATTTTCAGACCAATCACGACTCATGCTTGTTTTGATTCTCTACAATTTCCTTATTTTCAAATACATTCATATATATATATATATGTTGTATAAATTGTGTGATAACATAAAACAAATAGATTCATACTCGTTAATTGAAATTTCAGAACAAGCAAACCATTCTGAAAATTACAATACATAACAAAATAAAATAATATAGAAAAGCAAACCGAAACCTGCACTAGACAGTGTCCTTAATTTTTTTAAATAAATTTAAAAAATTCTAGATATGCATAAAATTTGACAAGAATAATGTGACAATGTTAATTAATGTGTATTTGATTTTATTGTTGAACCAAATAAAATAAAATAAGATTGAATGCATATTTAGTTTTGGTTGTGAATCTTAAAAAAAAAATTAAAAAAAAAACAAAAGAAAAAAGATTAAATGTATATTTAGCTTTGGTTGTGAATTTTAAAAATTAAAAAAAAATAGTTGTGAACCTTAAAAATAAAAAAAATAATAATAAAAAGATTTGATGTATATTTAGCTTTGGTTGTGGATCTTAAAAAAAAAAGAGTTGATTGTGAACCTGAAAAAAAAAATAAATAAATAAAAGAAAAAAGATTGAATGTATATTTAGTTTTGATTGTGAATCTTAAAAAAAAAAAAATATGAGGAAATTAGTAAATACCTATCCCCTGTGAATATTTAAAAAATATCACTTACCCTACCTAATAGATAAAAAAAAAAACTCATACATTTAAGTTGAATCTCTATAAATAACCACAGAATAGATTATCCATTTACCTAATTCCAGCCCACTGGACTCTCGAAAGAATCCAGTCCAAAAACTAAATTAATAAAAGTGCTTTTTGTATCTTTTTGAATATCACTTTTAAAATCATCTCAAAATATCTGACGGACCAAGAAGAGTCGTGTCTACGAAAGCTACATCCCCTCTCTCTCTCTCTCTCTCTCAACAGCTCGCAGCTCCTCAACACTCTTTTCTCTAGATTGCAGCACAGCAGCTCTGTGTGAACGCACTCTGAATCAGAGAGTAGTCAGTATCAAATGGTAAAATCTTGTCTACAAATTTCTATTCATTTTTCGTTTTTGCGTCTCTCCGATCTCGTGCTTCATTACTCTCGGTTAGGGTCTAGGGTTTTTGAACTCGGGAGTTCATGCTCTAGTCGATCACGATCTGTTTACTTGTACTGCAAATATCTCTTCTTTGATATATAATCATAGAGAATTTAATTTTAATCTCAGAAAAAGTGGCTATTATTTGTTTGCAGGCTTTGCCGAGCCAACAGACTGTTGATTACCCGAGCTTCAAGCTCGTCATTGTTGGTGATGGTGGAACTGGTATTTTATTTATTTATTTTTTATTATTTTAGAATTATTTATAGTAATCAAGTGGGATGCATTTGGTTTTTGTTGCTGAATGTATTTGAATGATGCAGGGAAAACAACATTTGTGAAGAGGCATCTCACTGGTGAATTTGAAAAGAAGTACGAACGTAAGTTTCTCAATAAAAAAACCTTTTTTTTTTCCTTCTTTGGGGTTTAATTGTTTAAGAGGGCTATTGAGTTCTGTTTCGTGTTTCGGTACAATGCATGCTTGTGTATTAATGTGATGATAATAATCATTTGGCTTTGTTTGAAACAGCAACCATTGGTGTTGAAGTTCACCCTTTGGACTTCTTCACAAACTGTGGCAAAATCAGATTTTATTGCTGGGATACAGCCGGGCAAGAGAAATTTGGTGGCCTTAGAGATGGTTACTAGTAAGTGTTTACACATCTATGAATACAATTTCTGAATCTAAGCTGGCATTTGGCTTCGCTTGTTTGTTTTCTTAAGTTTATTAGGAGGGCAGGATGATAAATATCTTTGCAAAATATCTTTCGTTTGTTTGCCATGGTCCTATAGGTTGTCTATTGGGAATTTGGAGTTTCTACTTGAGTTCAAGGGAAATGCTAATGATCAAATACTAGGCCGTCATTAGCCTTGATGTACATGTAAAAATATGCTGAAACATGTAAAAAAATATTTGAAAGTGTGGAAATTTGTGAAAAGTGTATTGGAAATTGGAATTATCAATATTTTGTCATTTTCTCAACCATAATGTCAGGCCACAGGGCTGTCATTAGCATGACACGTTTGGTACACTCCAATAGGCTAGAATGGAATGCTCATTTTAGCTTTATATTCCCTTATTTATTTATTTATTTATTTTTTGTACGTGCCTTGTGTAAGTGGGAATCATTATTCTATTGGAATACCTATTCCAATAAAAAGCAGAATACCTATTCCTTTTTCCAAGTTAAGGCGTAGACATTCTATTCCATTCCATCATGTGTGTTGGCCTCTCCTCCTTTGACTACCACAGCACCCTCTCCACCACCTTAGCCACCGCCTTTTCTACCACTGTCACCTACCACCTATCACTCTCTGCTACCCTAGCCACCACATTTTCTACCATTGTCACCTACACCTACCACCTATCACTTTCCACGAACATTGCCTGCCACCGCCTCCATTGCCACCCTACTGCCACTGCCACTGCCACTGCCACCAACATTGCTACCTACCATTATCACCATGACCGCCATCCTACTACCCCTACCACCACAAGCACCATTGTCACTACCACCTTACTGCCACCATACCACACTAGAATTGATGCTGCTGCTGCCACACCATAAGCCACCACCCTGCCACCATCACTACCACCACCTATGTTACATGGACTCTTCAAAATAAATCAAATACCCGTGTCGGACACCCGACACTCGGACAAGGGTATGAGATATGTGTCGGATACTTTTCAACGGATACTTCTTATATAATTGTATATAACACTATAATTATATGTACATATTGTTGTATAATTGCTATAAATGTCATTTTGACACTATAAGTTAAATATAATACCATTTTATCTCACATATTAAATTAAAAATATAAAAATATGACATTTTTTTGCCGAGTCCGCGTATCCTTAAACATTAATCCCCACCGCCCCCACTACCACCACACCACACCACACCACACCACGCTACAACCACAACCGATCCCCACCACCAGCATCACTCACACTACTGCTACCATAGTAGTCACCAACACTATCATTGATCTACATGTGTTTAGTTTCATTGTTTTTAGTTTGATAAAATAATTCCATTCCATTAGCTTATTGGCATAAGCAAACATGGGAATTGGAATTGTCATTCCATGTTGGCAACCAAGCTGTAGAATGGGAATGATTACTTTATTCCATTCCTACTCTCATTTCATTCCATTCCTTTGTATCAAACTTAATCTAGGTTAAATCGGTCTCCAGCTTTAGAACTGTTGTGAAGTGGTTAACTGATGGATGAACAAGTGGGGCTAGTGGTTTTCTTACAAAAAAATATTGGAGATTTTGCATCCTTTTAGGTGGAAAATGTTACCATCCATTACAAATATTTTGCAACTACAGTTTTGAAAGGAGGAAATTAGCACAAGATTTCTCATAACTGCCCCATTAGAGGCACAGTCCTGCTATGATTCATAATGCATAAGGTCCTAAATAGTTTGTTTGGAACGTGAGGTTTGAAGATATTTCTATGTAAAAATAGAACATTTTGTAGAAGTCTTTACTAAGGACATTTTTTTTTTTGTGCCAATCATTTTTTGAGATGATTTTTTTTTTTTTTTTTTTTTTTTTTTTTTTTTCAATATCTTTGTTCAGCGATGCAGAAATTTTTGTTTTTATGTTCTTTAATGGTGAAAAGTAGCACGGAAAAAAAATGTTAGAAATTTCACTGGTGGAGCTGGAGATGGTTCGTGGTGAAGTTTCTTGTTCAGTAGAGAAATTTTTAATAGAGAAGATGTTGCAATTCTTTGTTCAATAACTAATTTTCTAGGTTCAGTCAATACAAATCTGTTCATTAATAGTGAAGTTATGAAAAAAGTTTATATTCTGAACTATGGTTTTAAATATTGGTTGATATAGTATGCATTGGCTGATACGTATTGGTTTTTTAGCCTCTTGATACCGTTACATCCCGGTATACTGATGGGAAGTAAAGTTGTATGCATATTAGCCAATTCACAGCCAATATAGCTGTTTCACAATCGATACAATCATATGACCAGTTCGGCTGCTATACAGGTTTTTTTTTTTTAATTTTTAATTTTATAAATGGTTTCTGGTTTGACTTTAGGAATGGTCCATTTATCAAGAGCTTCCCTTACATCCTAGTAGGCAACTAATTCTACTACTTCTGATGTAGAAGCTACTGTATTTGCTACTGTTGTAATGGTTGATGCTTCTTCTGCCATTGGTTGTATGTGACCATATATGTATGCTTTAATTATTATATATATGCATTATGTTTATGTATAAACTTGGCTCTGTTACCAATTAAGTGCTCGAAGGGCCAAGCTAAGCACGTCTGTCAACGATTTATAAGGTAACCTGTCCTAATGCAATCCCTGTTATTGGACTAACCTCTACGCGACTTGGGTGACGTCTCACTTTCCCTAGCAGTATTCTACCCTTTATTGGCACAAACCCAGGAATATAAATACACATAATACAAGTATATAATAAACAAATTACAACATATATGGTCTCATAATTTACTGTTGAAGTGGAGGCCTAACGGAGGCCGCCCACACAGATATGTTCCTGTATTTGCTGTTTTACTCTGGCTATTTATTGTTCACAAAATTTTACCTGTTGTATAGCTCACGGCTGAAGATACGGATCTTAAAGAACTATTAGATAATTGTCACTACTTGTAATATAAAACTCTAAAACATTTAATAAATCTACAAGTATATCAACAAAGGGCATACATTAAAGAAAGAAATACTTACAATCACAATCTTCAAAGTAACTTAATATTTCATTACTTAATTTATATATCGGAGAAATTACAAGATCAGAAAGAGCTCACCAGAGAAAACTTAAAATTAAATTACAATTTCACTCTTTAAAAACATACACTCTGCCTCAACAAGGGTGAGGACCTTCTCTTTTATAGACATAAAAACGGAAAAGATAAGATAAGAAGACAGGTGGCGTGTCCTTGTGGAGTGGAGTCGATCGTCCTTATCCTCATGACTCAGCATCCTATCTTCTTTGTCTGGTGGTGGACACCTGTTTGGATAGCTGTGTGGTAGATCTGGATAGCAGACAGAGCATCTGCTTTTGTCAAAAGTTGTACTGGTTTTGTCGTTTTATACAGACGGTTTTGTTGGTACGGGACAAAACCCAACCTATCATGCTTTGCCTTTACATTTTTTATCTTTTTCTTTGTCAATTTTGTCGGCAATCATACTAACTAAAATTTGATGGGACGTTACACACACTAAAATAAAACACTAAATTATACTAAATTCTTTTAGAATAATGGCAAGCTCATGTATCGATCCACAGGGATAATTGTGAAATTAGACTAATTTAATCGCTAAATTCTTAAATTAATTTTGATTAAAAAGATTAAGAGATTTTATGACTAAAAAGGAATTAGATGAAATTGATAAATTAAATTGACAATTAAAATTAGGGTTTGAGATATTAATTTTTGGGAAAAATCCTAAGGCAAAGAATTCATCACTAATCATATAAATGAGAATAAACATCGGCTATCAATTGTAATTCGGTTTGAAATACCCAATGTTTCACAACTACAAGTTTGAAATATTGATCAAGAGGGTTGTTGCATTTAACGTACAGGCACGAGTCATCCCGAGTAGCACGAGACGTTTGCTCTAAACTACGGTAGCAACACCACCCGTCTCTCGTAGCATGACTCGTCTCGTATTTTTAATACAAACACAGAAAAAACTAATGTATGGAAAGTATTAAGCAATCACAGAGAGTAAAATACTTGAAAAGATGAAAAGAACAATGATTAAAATTTTTTAAATCATCCATACATTGATTCAAACTGATTCACAATCAAAGCTTATGCAAAATCCTATTACATGACTAGGGTTTCATCAAAACCCTAGAAAAGAAGACTAGCCACTCGTGGAGGAGTGGGAAGAGGATGAGGAAGAAGCCCCCATGGAAGTTGTCCTTTTAGCTTGAGAAGAAATCCCTCTTTAAAACCCTAGTTTCCTTTTTCTTCAAAGTAATTTTTCGAACCCTAGGTTAGTCTTTTTTTTTTTCCCCTTTTATTCTCAGCAAAACAAACCCAAAATTCTACGCACGTATCCCTGGGTAGGCCACTCTAGTGGTGGTGGGCCGCACGTGCAGTGGGGTGGCTGGTTCGGATTTTTCGCTTCTTGCTCGGATAATCTACTTTTGCACACTTTTTGATTGAATTTGCGTGTTACCTGCTAAATCTGTACAAGGGCACGAAACACATCATCTCCACTAAATAAACAATATTGGAAGCCAAAAAATGTAACTTCAGTGGTTTCAATGTGGTACTTTTCGGCCTACATTACATCCCCCAACTTATATTTTGCTAGTCCTCGAGCAAAACAAAAGAATTAATAAAAATAAAATAACTCTAAGCCACTTTCGTAGGAAACAAGATTGCATTTAGCATATGCAACAAGCCTTTCAACTACAAAGTTACCCCAATTGGACGAGTATAGTCTCGTGAGGGTTTCCAAAAATGATACCCACAAACATCAACAAATTCATATATGTTCAACAACAATTAACCAAACTATTCCTCCTAACAATCAACTCATGTGCCACTACAGTGTGATATTAAGACATGATGAGTCATTGAAGGCATAGTAGATAAGCATGAAGGAATCTATTGAGTCAAAACTACCATTCAGTTAATACAAAAGTAAAGTTTCCTGTACTTTTGAATGCTAGTAGATACATCATTAGTACCCTCGGTGTAAAGTGCAATTTTCATATTAGTTAATTGTCCACTATAATAGCCTAGTGTAACTCATAATGACACCTAACATATATAGAAAAACTAAACGGTTGCAACCAAGATTCTCAATTTTTTTTTGTTTGTTTGAAAGACTGTGCAATGTCCTGATCCATTAAGCTTTCTAATCAACCCATGTAACAAGCATTGGGCCAAATTGATACTAATAATAAAGAATGAAATATCACTAAAATAATTAAAATGAATAATAATAAAGAATAATAATAATATGAAAAATAATAATAATAATAATTGATGGACAAATTGATACTAAGGCCTCGTTTGGGAACAAGCTAATTTAGTTACTTTTTGGCTATTTGGCTAAAAAGGTAGGTAAAAAAAACTTGTATGTTTGGGATGACTTTTTGGCTAATTACGAAAAGATGTGCAAAAAGTAGAGAGAAAAGAGAATCTGACTTTTTGGTATGGGTTGTTGGCTTTTTGGCTAATTTAGTAACTTTTTGGCTAATTGGCTAAAATAGCCTCTTGCCAAACGAGGCCTAATTTTAATAATTGATGAATAAATTAATAATAATAATAATAATAATAATAATAATAATAATTGATACTAATTTTAATAATTGATGAGCAAATTGATAATTTTTGTACTAAAATCACAATTAATAATAATAAAGAAAAGAAATACATATATAAAAAATAATATGTAATGAATTCACAACATTAATATAAATTAGAACATGAATATTAATTTTAATGAATTAATAAATTAAACAAAATTAACAAAGAAAGAAAAGAAAAAAAATTTTGAAAAAAGAAAAGAAAATAAGGTGAAAAAGAAAAGAAAAGAAAATAAAATGAAAAAAAAAATGTATTATAAATGAAATCACAAATTTTATATCTTATAAGGGCAAAAATGACAATTATACAACAAAAAACTATTTTACAGTTTTTTTACCAAACATTACTCTGCTGCTTAAATCTATAATCTACACCTGTACCAAACAGGTTACCAGCTTATGTTCACAGCTGTAAGTTATAATCTGTTAAGTTATAAGTTATAATTTATAATTACTTTTCCACAACTCTACGAAACGGGGCCAATGGATGTCAGATTCATGGGAAATCAAGTGTAGGTATCTTACCACGCAACAATTTCCTCCTTATTTTGACCTGTACCGATATGTTTACGAACAGATACTTATTGAGACTGCTGCTGCTGAGATCAAGCATACTTTGCATGATCCCTTTAAAATCGCCAGTCCTATCCAGTATAGTAAAATTATGATCCGAAACATTATACCCATTACCACATGGGGCATCCATCCTCATATAACTCGCCAACTTGACATCCGTAATCGAGAAACTCGATATAGTTATTGCGACTATATCGATGCTTTTACTAAAACTTTTTATTACCAGGATTCCATTAATAACCATTCATGGTTTATCTGTATTTGCCTGATATTCTTAAAAACGATGTTCCTTCTTGGTTCCACGTTTGGTGAGATAAATTTGGGCTACAGTTAGAAGTTTTACCAATACCAATTAGGGAAGCCTATAATGAATGGCATATTGTATATTCCCATTACTAGTACATAAGGATATTTTTATTACAAAATCCTTAGACCATTTCACAATTCGTTTTGGTATTCTATGGATTTGGAAATGGGACTTTCAATGTGATTATCAGAATAAGATCTCACGTTTCAAGAGAGTTTTCTTTGTGAGATGGTGGGATAAGGGTATGAACCCTACGTTACCAGAAATTGTCCAGAAAATCCAGGCACATTCACAAGCCTGTTGGGATGCTGTTCCAAAAACCATTCCTAGCCAACCAATTACTCAAAATTCGTTTTTACAAATCCAAACAGAATTAAGGCAAAAATATCCCAATTTGTCAGAAACAAAATTAATCGTAAAAGGCATGGATTTCATGAAAGAACAATTTCTTCAAACTCTTTCTAGTGATGATACCTCCATGAAATCTGTTGCTAGTAGTCAAGATCATGAAGATCCTGACCAGGATGAAAATGAATTTTTTGTTTTAGTTGGCGAATCACAAGCCCCAGAAGATGATGAATCCAACTTTGGTGATTTTTGGGATTCACTCACCTCACCAGTATGATTGCTGACAAAATCGACAAAAGAAAAGGATAAAAAAGGTAAAGGCAAAGCATGATGGGTTGGTTTTTGTTCCTTACCAGCAAAATCGTCGGCATAAAATGACAAAACCAGTACAACAACTTTTGACAAAAACAAATGCTTTGTCTGCTATCTAGATCTACCACACAGCTGTCTACCACCAGACAAAGAAGATAAGATGCTGAGTCATAAGGATAAGGACGATCGACTCCCCTCCACAAGAACACGCCAGTTGTCCTCTTATCTTATTTTTTCCATTTTTATGTCTATAAAAGGGTAGGTCCTCACCCTTGTTGAGGCAGAGTGTATGTTTTTAAAGAGTGAAATTGTAATTTAATTTTAAGTTTTCTCTGGTGAGCTCTTTCTGATCTTGTAAACATTTCTCTGATATATAAATTAAGTACTAAAGAATTAAGTTACTTTGAAGATTGTGATTGTAAGTATTTTTTTATTTAATGTATGCCTTCTGTTGATATACTTGTAGATTTATTAAATGTTTTAGAGTTTTATATTACAAGTTGTGATAATTATCTAATAGTTCTTCAAGATCCCGTATCTTCAGCCGTGGGCTATACAACAGGTAGAATTTTGTGAACAACAAATAGTCAGAGTAAAACAGCAAATGCAGGAACATATCTGCGTGTGGGCGGCCTCCGTTAGGCTTCCACCTCAACAGTAAATTATGAGACCATATATGTTGTAATTTGTTTATTATATACTTGTATTATGTATATTTATATTCTTGGGTTTGTGCCAATAAAGGGTAGAATACTGCTAGGGGAAGTGGGACGTTACTCAAGTCGCGTAGAGGTTAGTCCAATAGCAGGAATTGCATTAGGACAGGTTACTTTATAAATCGTTGAAAGACATGCTTGGCCCATCGATTGCCAATATGTATTGCGCAATGCTGCCAATAGTGTTACATTGGTCCGTCACTGATACGTACCTAATCATCTCCCAATACCGGTATTTAAAACCTTGTTCTGAATAGAGAAATTTCTCACCAGTGGTTGTCGTGGTGGTGAAATTTCTATGTTCAGTAACAAATTTTTTTTTTTCTCTATTATAAATTTTATTGGTGGTGAAAAAGTAATTTATCAACAGAAATTTGAGTTATGAACATAAAAATATTTTTGAGTGGAAGTAGTAAGTTCGAAGGAAATTAGCAACTGGGGCATTCAAGCCTCAAACAATCATAACTTTGTTCTCATTCATCCGTCTAATTTTTTTTAAAATATATTTATTATTATTTATTTCATGTAACTTCTTGAGATCTAGATGTTGCATATTGTTGAAGGCAGTTTGGGGCACTATTTTTGCTAAAAAGTGGGCTGCTTTAGCTCTAAATTTATGAAAAAAGGTTGTTTTAGAAATTTTGTGTTACAAAAATCTCTATAGTGAGCAGAGAAATTTCCAGTCCTTAATGGTTGTTGTAGCTTCATCCTTGCTGAACATCCTAATGCATCTAGTGAAATTGACATTTTCATAGAGAGATAACATTGTAAGATACCAGTTTAAGTATCTTGATGGGACTCAACAAACTATAGGACTTTTAAGCTATGGTTGGGAAGGCTGATCGTATAAATTTTTGCTTGATGTTTTGACGGAAATGTTGTAAAATTGAGTTCAAAGGGTCACCGCTCACCAGTCTAATAGAAACGAGCCTTTTTGGGTATCTATTTTTAAAGGCTGTTCCATCATTTAACTGAAAGGAAGGGATTATAGTTGCTTGGGTCTTAGTTTCTGGAACAAAGTGAGAAGAAGACTAACCCACTTTCCTTTCCAGTATGATTTGGAAAATAGTTCCAAATTCAGTTCTAAGGCTTCACATTGTCCCGATTACTATCTTTCAAGGTGTAGTATATTGTTATTTTTTCCCTTTGGGTTTAAAGAAATGGAACCTTGTCATGAGCTCTGATTTGATTTTCTCTGCATCTTATTTCCTTGGCAATACATAAACTAGTTCAATTTTTCACGAGATAATACTGTTATTTCTCTTTAGATCCATTGCAATAATTTGAATGTCGTCACGCCAGTTTCCTGCTCATTGTCCCTTGGGACACCAATACTATAATTCATGTGGAAATTCTAATTTGCTTTCGTTAGGTTAATTGTTCTTATTACTGAAGTTATATATTCTATTTGCAGCATCCATGGGCAATGTGCAATCATCATGTTTGATGTTACTGCCCGGTTGACCTACAAGAATGTTCCCACTTGGCACCGAGATTTATGCAGGTCCGGTTAGCAAACTTTTGACGCTTATCATCTGTTGTACATGTGTGTTGCTCTTTGTTCTTTATGGTATCTGAATTGTCCAAGTTTTGATCTATTTTTTGTGGCAATTGTAGGGTCTGTGAGAATATACCCATTGTTCTTTGTGGAAACAAGGTTGATGTGAAGAACAGGCAGGTCAAGGCAAAGCAGGTTACATTCCACAGGAAGAAGAATTTGCAGTATTATGAAATCTCTGCTAAGAGCAACTACAACTTTGAAAAACCTTTCTTGTACCTTGCCAGGAAGCTTGCAGGGTAATGGAATAGTACTCTGTTGTTCGTTTTACAGGTTTACTGATATTCCGGACCATGCAAAAATTTAGTAATTGCTTTTGTAATGTTAGGGATGCCAATCTCCATTTTGTGGAGTCTCCTGCACTTGCTCCTCCAGAAGTGCAAATTGACTTGGCTGCTCAGCAACAGTAAGTCTTCTTATTACAGGATATGCTCTTTTTCTATTAAAATTAAAACTCGTCTCCCTATGTTTGCATATACCGGGTGCCATACTCAGAAATTGACTCGTCTCCCTTTGGTAACGTTATTGTTTTTGGTTTTCTGTTTTGTTTTCATAAATTTTGAAAACTGGAAAAGAAAACTTGTTTGGTGTTTCCGTTGGAAAAAATGGCAACAGTTTTCAAAATAATGAAAAATAGTGAAAAAAAAAGAAGAAAAAAAGTGTGTTTGCTTTTGAACATAAGTTTTCAATCCCTCACCCTACCTTCCCCCTACCCATTCCCTCTCTACCTTCGACTACACCAAACATGTTTTCTTGTAGAACTTTTTATTTGTTTTTGAAAACATTTGTGTACCAAACATCATATCAGTTGTTTTTGTTTTTAGCAAAAAAAAGAAAAGAAAAGAAAAGTTAAATATTTTTCTTCAAGGCAATGTTACCAAATGCAACTTAAAAGTATGTTATTAAAATGCCTTCTTAGATTGGACACCCCTGGGTTTGTAACATTGTCTTCATAAGAGCCTGGAGTGATAGATAATTTCTGAGACTTGGGTTAGTGGTTGTGTGCACTTAAGCTGAACTAATGCAGAACGTAATTGTTTATTATTATATATTCAATTTGTTTCATTTACTGAATTTGAACCTCACTCTTAACCATCAAATTATTGTGTTTGTTACCCGTGCTATGATTGCAGGCATGAAGCTGAGCTTGCTGCTGCAGCTAGTCAGCCCCTTCCTGATGATGATGATGATGCATTTGAGTAGAGTGTTAGCTTGGATCAATGTTGCGGCTTAATACGTTTTTGCCATCCCTTTTTGTGCTTCTTCTTACTTTATATCTTCGCAAAATTTCAGACACTGTTGAAGAATTCGAGTATTAGAAGGTGAGAATCTATTGTGGACCATATAGATCACACTAGTTATTGTCTTCTACCACTGTTCGTCTGTGGTGGTTGTAGTTTGTGGTATTATTCTTTAGGGGTTTCCATATGGATGTTTTGAGTCACATCGTTTTAAGCCTTAAAGCATTTAACCGTCCTCTATTAAGGTGATGACCAACGCAGCGGCCCATATGCTTGAATCATTGTGTGAAGTGTTTGACCTAAGGATATCCAAGGCTTGTTGGACATCTATTTATAGATCACATATTGATATATATATATATATAATTTGTAACTTATATATTTGTTGCATGTTTGACATCACTTCAAGCCAGTATTTTCTTCCAAGTAGTTTGGAAGTGATATGAGAAATCATTCACTTTGTTTGGTTCCAATTTCATGAATTTAATTTTTTTAAAATTGAGTTTTTTATTTTTCGTGTTATTTTGTTTTTAGTGAGTTTTTTTTAATATTTTAAGTAATTCTTTTACTTTTTAGATACACTTAAGTATAATATTTGTTAATTTTTTTTTAAAAAAAATTCGCTAAATATCATAGATACAAAAAAGGGGGATGCACCAATAAATCCCAAATTAATAACTTATGCACTGTTTAGTCCTAAAAGTTTTCTTATAGACTGAAAGGTCCCATTACAATGTTAATAACATCAGATACAATGTTAATAACATCAGAGTCATGTTACAAACATTGGATTTCAAACATCTAATGTTCATCAAATTTCAATAATGTTTGAAAATATAGGATGAAAAACATCTAATGTTCATCAGATTTCAATAAATTTTGAAATTATAGAATGAAACATCAGATCATTTACATCATTCACATCATGTTGATGTAAAAATGGGACTAAATGGAGCATAAGAAAACTTTTAGGACTAAATGGTTCAACGTTTCAAAAACTAGGACTTATGGGTAAATTTTCCTACAAAAAAAAGAAGAAAATTAGTACAATTTTATATTTTTGTATATTTATAGATTTTTTACAAATATTTTATTTTTAAAGTACATCTTGGTTGGGTGTATTTAAAAAGTAAAAAATTTATTAAAAATAAAAAATGAAAAATGAAAAATTTAATTTTCAAGAAATTGAATTTAGAAAAAGAAAACCAAACAAGGTGATTGTTATTAGCGAATCTGTTAATTGTGCTCTGAAGCTATTCCGGTAGCTGTTTTGACATGGAGTCTTTAGTAAAAGATTTTGTTGAAGGCACTGGAGGGAAGCCTATTCCACGGGATTGCCTGATCACGGTGAATATTGGCCCCCTGGGCATTTGGTTTGGTGTTGCCGGTTAAGGGAGGTAATTGCAGACTTGCAGGCCCATCACCAAATTGGACCCTTTTAGGCCACAATTTTAGTTGTCTGTTATGTTCTGTTGGCATTTTGCTATGATGGATAACGAAATGGTCTTCATGGTCAACGGAAAGAAGTTTGTTTGGTCAACCATAATACTGCACCATCTCACCATCGTTGCTGTTATCTTTGCTATCATCACCACCAAAACTTCACCGCGGCCTCCACCAGTACACTACCTCTGCCACTACCCCACTGCCATCATAGCTCCACTATCACCACCACTGAAATCCCACTACCATCAATAATACGACTATTAATATATTAGTTTCATGGTTAGAATCAAACAATGAAAAATGTTTTGTCGAAAGCATTAGTTTAGAAAGCTCGATGCTTGACCCAATGTTTTTGGAAGGCCAATTGGTATCATTAATGTTGTGCAAGTAGGAAAGTCCAATGGCTATATTACTGTGGTATAATTGGGCCTTTAGGTTCCTAGGGTTCGAATTATGACTTCCACCAACTTTCCCTTAACCCATAATTCTTGGAGATTCTATTTGAATTCAAAATATATTTTAGTACGCTCAAATCAAATTCATAAATTTTAATTCCTCTTATATCTTAATGTAAATTTACTAATAAGGGTAACACATATTAAACTCTAAAATATTTTTTTTTTCACGGTACACTCTAATCAATTATTCCTATTCAAATATCTGTATCGTCTTCTCGAAGAGATTAAAGTTATTTATTATTATTCTTCTTCTTCCTTCCTCCAAAACTCTAATTCACTTTACCAAAATTTATTATTATATGTACATACACTTAAAAAGTATAATATTTGTAAAAAAAAATATAGAAAAAAATTCAATAAAAAAGGTAAGCCAAGCAAGGTAGCAGAGCGTTTTCTATTCTAACATTTTGTCAAACACATATTAATCAACAAATTGGAATAGCAAAATAGCAAGAGAAGAAAGAGATACAAAAAAATAAAGGCAAGGTAATATGCTATGTAAAGTATATAAGTGATCAGTAATTTTAACAATATTCAAAGCAACTATATTTTTTAGGATAAATTACATTGACACCCCCTAAAGTTTATGTTTATTACAGTTTTTTCTCACCTTTTGAAAATTACATCCCCCTTCCTGAGGTTTAAAGTTTCATTACAAATTGCTCCCTCCAGCAATTTAATTTTTTTAAATACCAATTTTGCCTCACTGGGTAAATTACATTGGCAACCCTCACATTTTAGAAATTACAATCCCCTCTCCAAGGTTTAAAGTAGCATTACCAATTTCCCTCTCAGTTAGTATTAGTCGAAAAAAAAAAAAAATTATTTGGGAAAAAAAATTATTTGAAAAAAAAAAATTTGTTACTCAATTTTTTAAATTTCTGTTTAAAAACCAACGTAAACTCATTTTTTGAATTTACATTTTTTTCTCAAATTTACAAACTGAGACAACCATTTATAAACCAAAAAAATTATCAAATAAGTTTTTATGACAATTTTTAAAATTTTTGTAAGTACAAATTGAAAACTGAAAACAAAATGATTACCGAACAGGCCTCAGATGGTAAAAATATAGTAAAATTAACATATAATTAAATAAGTAATTAATGTAAGAAATAACTTATCAAAAGATTCTTAGGCTATGTATGGTTTGATTTTTAGAATTTTTTTTAAAAATTAATTTGGTTAAGAAATACAAGCAAGGTAGCAGAGCGTTTTCCATTCTAACATTTTGTCAAACACATATTAATCAATAAATTGGAATAGCAAAATAGCAAGAGAAGAAAGAGATACAAAAAAATAAAGGCAAGGAAAAATGTTATGTAAAGTATATAAGTGATCAGTCATTTTAACAATATTCAAAGCAACTATATTTTTTAGGATAAATTACATTGACACCTCCTAAGGTTTATGTTTATTACAGTTTTTTCTCACCTTTTGAAAATTACATCCCCCTCCCTGAGGTTTAAAGTTTCATTACAAATTGCTCCCTCCAGCAATTTAATTTTTTTAAATACCAATTTTGCCCTCACTGGGTAAATTACATTGACACCCCTCACATTTTAGAAATTACAATCCCCTCTCCAAGGTTTAAAGTAGCATTACCAATTGCCCTCTCAGTTAGTATTAGTCGGAAAAAAAAATTTTTATTTGGGGAAAAAAATTATTTGAAAAAAAAAATTTGTTAGTCAATTTTTTAAATTTCTGTTTAAAAACCAACATAAACTCATTTTTTGAATTTACATTTTTTTTCTCAAATTTACAAACTGAGACAACCATTTATAAACCAAAAAAATTATCAAACAAGTTTTTTATGACAATTTTTAAAATTTTTGTAAATACAAATTGAAAACTGAAAACAAAATGGTTACCAAACAGGCCTCAGATGGTAAAAATATAGTAAAATTAACATATAATTAAATAAGTTATTAATGTAAGAAATAACTTATCAAAAGATTCTTAGGCTATGCATGGTTTGATTTTTAGAATTTTTTTTTTAAAAATTAATTTGGTTAAGAAATAAAAAAATAAAAAATAAATACTATTTTTATATAATTTTTATCTTTCGAGTGTAATAAACATAAATCTCAAGGGGTGTCAGTGTAATTTTTATTTTACGTTGGTTTTTAAACTAAAATTTACAAATTTGACTAACAAATTTTTTTTTCAAATAATTTTTTTTTCCAATTAATTTTTTTTTTCAATGATTTGTTTTTTCAACTAATACTATCCGAGGGAGCAATTGGTAATGCTACTTTAAACCTTAGGGAGGGGATTGCAATTTCTAAAATGTGAGGGGTGTCAATGTAATTTATCCAGTGAAGGCAAAATTGGTATTTAAAAAAATTAAATTGTTGGAGGGAGCAATCTGTAATGAAACTTTAAACCTCAAGATGGGGATGTAATTTTCAAAAAGTGAGAGGGAGAACTGTAATAAATATAAATCTCAGGGGATGTCAATGTAATTTATCCTAAAAAAAATATAGTTGCTTTGAACATTGTTAAAATGACTGATCACTTATATACTTTATATAGCATATTGCCTTGCCTTTATTTTTTTGTATCTCTTTCTTCTCTACAAAAAAATAAAGGCAAGGCAATATGCTATGTAAAGTATATAAGCGATCAGTCATTCTAACAATGTTCAAAGCAATTATATATTTTTTTTAAGTATTGATTTATAGAATCAAATTGTATTGCTTCATGCTTAGATGAGAATTTTGAGATATAAACAAAATTGATTTTTTCTTTTTTTTATTCGGTGCGTTTGCAATTCAAATTAGGTCTTCCATTAACATAAAAGCCATTATTTATTTCAAAAAGAAAATTAAACAACAGAGAAGAAAGAATAAAAACCCTAGACGTACAATGTTGTCGAGCTGGCGTTAAAGAGAATCGAAAGATCGATCAAAGTGAAGGATGAGAAGCTTGTTAATGGTGTCTTTAATTATGGAGTTTGCCTTTAGTTTATTTAATTTGTTTATTATTTGTGTTTATCTTGAGGGTAATTTGAGAAAAATAATAGAGTGTAGTGAGAGTTAAATAAAATTTTAAATAATTGAATAAGGTATACTTAAAATTGAGAGTACTTAATAATTTTTTAAATATGAATTGCAGTGCATGTGGTCATGTGGAAGGAGACATTATTTTATTTATTTATTTATTTATTTTTTTTTGTGTGTGGAGAAATAGTAAATAGCATTAAACTTTAAAGTTGTTTATACGACGAGTCACGTGAAGGAAGTAATTGGGTAGAGATTGGGCTTATTTTGTTCCAACACAAACCATGGCCACCGGAGTGTGCTAGGAAATATGTGGTCCAACATTAAAACAATCTCTCCTTTTGCCAATTAAAAAAATGTGAATAAGCTTAACCAAACGTTCATAAGAGCATGGACCTCACCTCTTGTGAGTGTCTCTACACACTTAGGGTTTTTAATTTTAATTAATCAATTATTTATTTATTTTAAATTGGGT